TCATTTATTCCCTGTCACCCTTCTTGAAAGCTTGTTTTTACTTGTTAAGCAGTTACTTCAGATGATTTTTGATCCATGGTTTATTATTAAGAAAGCATTTCACTCTTCTGGTGGGGATATTGTTATCTTCACAGAAGTTTATGTAGTCAGTCACACACTCAGTCATTGCATTGATGTCCTCTGCATTTGGCTGACACAGTGCTTCCCAGTCTGTAGCTTTAAAACAACCTTGTAGGGCTTCTTTAGCTTCCTGTGTCCTTCTTCTTAGTTCTTTTTAATGCAGGTTGTCTCTTATAAAGTGACTTAGAATGTGAGCTCTCTGTAGCTTAGCAACTGTTGAACTGATTAAATCACATGCAGTGTCTGCAATGGCAGAAGGTGGAATATAAACGGTAACTAAAAGAACACTGCTGAACTCTCTGGCCAAATAAAATGGCCAAAAACCTGGTATAAGCCAGATGGTTACTATGTAGAATTCAGATGAAAGTGCACATGACCATCTGGGGCCCATTTCACAAAACAGGTTAAACAAACTCAGACTCACATCCTCAATGCAGAATTGATCGAGCCATAGCACAGTTTGCACAAAAACGTCATTTTTTTCTGTCTAAGTTTCTTTGTTAGTTCATACAACTATACTAAGTGCTCTGCAAAACTGACATCAAAAATACCATTAGATGAGTCTGAATTGCACAAACTAGTACTAGCAGAGGACACTCTGGTCTGCCAACCCATAAAAACCTGATGTTATCCAATGAGAATGCTCTCTCTGCTTTTTCTCAGAGTAGCTTTCCCTCGTCTGTTCCTGTTTGGCTGTGACGCCACCCTGGAGAGAAATATCAGCTGTGCTGCTTCCATCAACACCCTTGTTTATAGATGCTGGAGATCGGCCTGTTTTCCAGTGTAGTCCTGTTTCTCTGACTGTGACTGGCTGGATGTGCTCTCTTCATCCTCTGACATTGGAGCTGGCTCAGAGCTCGTCTGCCTGGCTGTGTGTTTCCTGGACGGATCCGCCTTCTACAGCTGCTTTTTGTATCTCTGCTTCTGTCTCCTTGAACCCCAGTCGGCCTCAGCAGATGGCCGCTCACAATTAGCCTGGTTCTGCTGGAGGTTTCTTCCTGTTAAAAGGGAGTTTTTCCTCTCCACTGTGGCTACAAGCATGCTTAGTGTGAGGGATTGTATTTGAGTCAATGAGTCAATGCAATCAGCCGGTTTTCCTTAGATAGAAAACTTTGAATCAATTTGACTGTATGATCTGGTTGAACTGTAAAGTGCCTTGAGATGACATGTGATGTGAATTGGCGCTATATTAATAAACTGAATTGAATTGAGAAGTGTCCTTATCAATTGAATGCCAACTTAAGCTGTATGTGTCACGCATTCTTCTCAGAGTGAATGTCGATCTATATCTACATTCATCAATTTAAAACTGATCCTTACAGTTCACCATTCACTAAATATCACAACAATTCAGTGAACAGCGTTCATTGAACGCATTCAAGCACAACACCGGGTACCAAGAATCTGGAAAAAGTTACCTGTGTCGTCTTGAGTCCTAACTAATTTAGAAACGAATGAAAAGGTTATTCAACTGTGCTTTTAGTTAACAGCTTATTGAATGCTATGTCTCAATTATCTTTGCTATATATTTTTAAACTTAATCAAGGTTTACTTAGTTTCGTTTGAAGCATTTTGTGATTTCAAATGTGGCTTCACCAAATAATACACACAGTTCCAGTAAAAGTCCCAGTGTAGTTTAGCAAACTTTACATGTTATTTTACATGTCATCACTCCATTGCCTCAGACTTGTTTTGTCTGTCATCCAGTGGAGTGTAAATAATATAAATATGTAAAATTAACCAAATGTTTTGTTATAGATTTTCAGGATATTGTTCTGGATCTCAGAGACAGTTTTGCCACACCTTAGAAAGTATTTATTCAGAATCCGTTTCTGAATAAATGGTATATCATTGTTTAATTAAAACACTGGTTTCATTATAAACTTATCCATGTGGGATTATGCTGCTACATTAATAGATTAAATTATTTAAAAGCTGTTTAGACATCTGTTTCACCAATTTTCTTTGTGGTTGTACCTAACTGTGGGCCAAGCTTTTATTCAGTCTGTCACTTTCTGAGTTATGTCTTTAAGGCAGTCTTTAAGACTCAGTTGAATTGTTGTTCCCTTTTGCTGTAATCCACTGGAGAGTTTTCATAAAACACAGAAATCAGCGTCCACAGAAACTCACTGAAAGTGTTTTTATATCGATCTCGTACAATAACAAAAAAAAAATTCATTGAAGTGCAACTATTTGGGTCAGACTGTACAATCAATAACACACAGACACACACAGAGAAAAAAAGCAGCTGTTTGGTGAGCCATTTCTTTGTCCTGTCTCACAAAAACAATCCTCATCGGTGGAACAACCTCTGTTCTGACAATGTTGCTTACCCTTTTCAATTTAGCCTGTGGAGAAAACAGTTTTGTAGGTTTTACGATATGTAAGCTGCTTCTGCTGCATTTTGGCTTGGTATTAAGAATATTGCAATTTTAAGTAATTTAATACATGAGTAATCTGCTTTCAGTGGATTACGCTTCTCCATCAGAACAAATCAGGAAGAACAGAAAAGGGCAGCGAGGTTCAGTGGTCTAAATATATAAAATCTTTCCAACATCAGTACGGGTTTTTAACACGAAGAGGAGGATGATGATGATGATGATGATGATGATGATGATGATGATGATGATGATGATGATGATGATAGGCTTCTGACGATGAGGGTGTTGTTTTGAGTGTAGATGTATTAAAACCTCAATAGTCTCTTTTAGGGTAAGAGCATGGTTTCTATGCAATGGCCTACGAGTTATTCATAAATTTTTATATACTATGTATTATGACAAAATATACATATTTTGTCATAATCATAAACCTCAGCATGTTTTATTGGGATTGTTGTTATTGTCTTTTTAATAATTAATAAAATCCACCTTCTTACATATAAAGCCCTAAATAACTAAGCCCTATCTTATATAAGAAATTAAATAGCTTTTTTATGTTCCTAAAAGAGCACTTCGTTCTCAATCTGCAGGTTTACTAATGTGTCCTAGAATTTCTAAAAGTAGAATTGGAGACAGATTTTTTAGGTATCAGGCTCCTCTCCTGTGGAATCATCTACCAGTTTAGTCTGTGAACCAGACACCATGTCTACTTTTAAGGTTAGGTGTCATGTTTTGAAAAGATAGACTCTGAATCAGGGCTACCACACAGACAGACAGATAGTTTAATGAAGTTTATTGACAAAGAGCAGAGGCAGGGCTGGCGGGCTGGTCGTATCTAGTTCTGCTGGGAAGGGAGAGGGTACTGGTCAGCAACAGGCTGACACAGATGAGATGATTGGAGTAAGCTTAACTCACAGAGGTTGAGGCTTGCCTTCATTCAGGAAGGGTGGTGTCCGGGGTCTGGGAGGTTGGTGATAATCCGATGGTTCTTTCCTTTGTGCAGATGGTGTTGGAGGGTGGACAGGCAGGTGAGCTCAGGTAGGAGGACAAAAGCAGACTGGAGATCAAAGGGTTTCATTGACACCTAGGAGGTCCAGACTGTGAGTTTCTCAGGCTTTGGTCTATGGTTCTAGGAAGGAAAAGGAAACAGGAACTGGCTTGGAGGTTACTCAGAAAAGACTTTGGGCGGTCAAATACCATGCCTGAAACAACCTCCTGGTTTCCACTCCTTCAGAAAGGCTCTAATTAGCAGTGATGAGGAGCACCTGCCCATCACACCCTGTAGAGAAGAGATAGAACCCAGACCTGAGAGTATGACACTAGGCTTTGAACTTTCCTTTTTCATAAAGCTTATAGTTAAAAAAAGATTGATGTTTGCTTAGTCACTAGGTAGGTGGAGGTAGAGCATCAACAGCCCGATCTGCCAGCGGAGAATTTCAGTCTTGACAGATGTTTCTTTTTGGCTCTACCTTTCTGATACTTCATTCAAAACACTAAGTTATCCTAAGCTATTTTCTGAACCCAAGTCGGTCTCGGCAGATGGACACTCACACTGAGCCTGGTTCTGCTGGAAGTTTCTTTCTGTTAAAAATGAGTTTTCCTCTTCACAGGCATGCATGTAGCAACATGCATGCTTGTTGTGAGGAATTGCTGAAGGGTCATTGACAAAATACAAGCGAAGGTTGTTGCCACAGGTACATTTAGGAGGAGAATGTCATGCAAGTCAATGACTGGATACAATCAATTGGTTTTCCTAATCAATCTGACAGTATTGTCTCTGTAAAGGGCCTTGAGATAACATATGCTGTGAATAGCCGCTATATAATTAAACTAAATTGAATTGAATATATTGAGGCCATGTTTTTCCTAATATTCTCTAACAAATCCCTAAAGCATCCATAGAACAGTTGGATTGAAACATATGTTATGTTACGCACAGAACAGTTTTCTTACTAATCAGGGAAATTCATTGGTTGATTGGTTGCACAGGGTTTTATTTAGAATTAGCAGAAGAAATATGGGCTGAACATGACTCTACTTTTTAGATTTTTATTAAAATGAAAGGGCAAAAAATGTGTCTCTTTCTAACCTTCTCAATGATGTATAACATTTTTGCCCGCCAAATCTTAATAAAACACATTTATGTGGATTTTCTGGTTGACGAGACAAAATGTACAAAGAATAGTGGCATCAGTGCTTCGTAAGACACTTTTTGTCCAATTCATATGTAACCTTTATGTAGAGGTACATAACACAAAGCAAAGTCTTTGCAGAAATAGTCCATGCCTGAATTGTTTTTTATGGGCTGTAGAGCCAGTAAGCTGACAGCCCTCAGTTAGGTCAATCAGAACCACGACTCAGCAAGCTGTCAGTCCCAGGATAGCAGAGAGAAAATGGAATACATTTTATCCTCAGCCCCCTCCAGGTCAACTGTGACAGGGTTGCCCCTCAATTACCAAGTATCAACACCTCTTCTTGCCTTCCCCCTCACCTTTCTTTGCTTCTCCTCCTTTCTCGCTGCAGATGGTGTGAGTCCACTCTGCAAGAATCATACAGGGAAAGAAAAATTAGGCGAGGAAAGCGGGGGCAGGGTGGCAACCACCTAGAATATGATGATTCCACAATGAATATAATACCTATTCCTTGCATGATTGGTCAGTGATATGCATCTCCTCCTCATCATCAAAGATCGGTATGTGTAAATGATTTCACTGCAAAGGCAAAACATCATATATAAATATATATCTAGCTACGTTTTTTTTCCATGTCAAGAATCTTCTCTAAGCAAATCATACACAGTTAATGATCCTAAAACTTCATGTTTTATGCATCCCCTTTAGCTAATAAGGTCAACTAGCAGTAAAATGGCTGACAGGAATTTATGCATTTTAATGCAGCCACAGAACAATAGGCACACGCCAAACACAATGGACTGGATAGAGAATCAGTGAGTGAGCAGGCAGTGCGACCAGCTGGAGCCCTCTACCCTTTGACCCCGAGGTCACCAACCGTTACACTTCTCTTTCATCCACCTCTTGCCAGTTGACTCATGAAAATGCAAAGAGGAGAAAGTTGCTTTGTCATACAGATAACCTTGACACATAGAGGTCTGATAGGAAATCACTGCCATGTTTGCAGGGGTGCATTCGCTCATATCGCTCCTTGACTCTGCACTCTCTGTGTATTTGTGATGTAAAGTAAGGTCAGAGCTGTGCAGATGGATAGGGGTGTATATGGAAGTCAAAACAATATAACTGGACTCTGCTTTGCTCAACCCTAACCCCATGTATACCAAGAGGGGGCTCATTTGAGGTTGTTGGCTAATGTAAGAAAAAGAAAACTGCATCCCCAACATAAGGGGATATAAACTACTTTCTGTCTCCAAATTCATATCCAAGCATCAATTCAAAAGCTGTCCAAATTGCTTTCATTAGGAACAGACCTGTCTGACAACAGTTCTAAACATCTTCAACCAGAAGCCTCACAGACACTTAAAAAGGATCCAAAAACAGCTGCAAAGCAATTGAAACTGTTGAGAGCGACTCAGCTGCCACACTCTTTCCCTCTTTGCAATTTAATGGTTATGTGACGTTAGCAGGTGACGGGCCTGTCACAGAAATAAGGTGTTTAGGCTTTTGAGCACCAGGACATGCTCCTAGCTTGGAGTGTTGGACTTAAAGCACAGGAGACAACAAAAATCATTAATCACTTTTTGAGGGCTTTTCACTTTTATTTAGTTGGGAACTAATGTGGTTTAACATTAAAATATCTGAAATTGTTTCTGATCTGTAATGCTATTATAGGTAATGGTTCCTTTACCAGTAAGTTGTCCAATCATTGTCGGTGTAGAAGACTAAACAAATATGTATTTCATTCAGAGCAGTGGTTGATTTTATTTTTCCATGTGCTTGAGACAAAGCGATGGAAGTACATGTGTAGCCCCGCTAGTAATTGTTCTTGCATGAATGCTGTCTTGAGCAAGCCTTGTACTTCTGTCATTAGAAGACAGTACATGTAATTATAGCTATGTAGATACATTATACTAAAATATTATATCTCTCTTAGGGAATATGATTATTGATTTGTAATGTAGAATAAAGTGATAGACCAAATAATTGAGTTAGTTGAGTTTTATTATATTTTGTACAGACATTTTTCATGCAAACTCTCAGAAAGCAGGACTGGTAAACTGTTCTGTGTAAAAAAAACGTATATAAATAAATCTCACTCTCTGTTTTCTAAGATTTCTGTTTGCTTAAAGGTGATAGCAACAAGTTTAACTCCTGGTACACAATTGGTAAACTCAGGGTTTTAATTGCCAGTTGCCAGTTCCGCTAATGCTGATGCTTACCATTGGTTAACATATGCAAACAATTAACTTAACTGATCAGAAAGAAAACACCATTCCCTGTGTGACTTTTTAGCCGTTTTTGCGTCCTTAAGTTGGCAAAAGGCTCCAAAGTATGAGCGATTTGCCGCCTTGTTTTTTTTTTTTGTTTTTTTTTGGCTTAAATCTGAGAAATTATATATTGAGAAGAAGCCATTTCTCCGCTCTAACATAGAGTTACTTGGATTTGGAAATGCCTGAATTCAATCAACTATTTTCAGTTGGAGCAGAATCTTTTTGTGTCAAGCTGGCATCGTAGACAGGAGTAAACATTTTTATATTTTTGACCTTTACAATTATATACTCTCCATCTATGTACTCTATGTATTTTTTTTTTCGGTAAAATTAATACATTTTCTGTGCTACTGTAGACATTCTCTCAATATATATATATAAAAATTTGTTAAAGCATACTGATTTAATCTAAACATAATATATAGCAGAAACGTTTAGCTTGTGTTAATGTTTTTTTCTGTAAATCACTGAAAGTAGACTACTTGAAAAAGCAGTTTGGTGATTTTAGTGTGAGAGGGTGTTGATGTGCAAATGACATGCAGCTACCTCATCAAGCAACCTCCAACTTTTTCTTTATTTTATTGTCATTAAAAATTGAAAAATTGTACCTTTGCAAAAATGTGGTTTTCTGTGGACTTAAGTCTTCTTAAATAGGTCTATGCTAGCTCTCCTCTGTCTACTCCTTTTAAGGCAGCCCATCCCTCTGATATCACATGTTTTTAGTTTAGTTATATTAGAGCTTTTGTCTTTCTCTCTGATTCCATCTCCATTTCTCTCTGCTTCCCTGCAAGTTACTTCCAATCCTTAGAGTTGAAGTTTGTCACCTTTCCACCATCCTTTGAAAAGCAGTTCAGTTTATGTCCCGAAAATTTTTTTTATGTTTTGGCATGCTCTGACATCTTATGGTTCCTGGCCTGTGGGTACCAAGCTTGCTGCTAATGTGCTAGAATTAGCTTGACACATACTACTGTGTTTGTGGCCTTTTTGGTTAGCTGTCAATTAGCTGTGTTAGCCGCTATGCTATTGGTTGCCTTGACAACAGAATCCTTGCATCCCCACCAAGACTTGTATTCCATACACATTTCAATGTATGTGTATGGATGTCTGATTAGACACCCATGTACATAATGCATTCAGCTAGACACTGAATGCATTATGCTTACTGGTAATAGATTATTGATAAGGTAAGACTTAATTGATTTGAATGTTACTAAAGACCTCTGTCATACACCTATTTACTGTTATCAGTAAGAGCTGTTAATCTGATGGATATTTAATCAGTGCATCACAACAGCTGAACTCCTCAAACACCAGATGTCATTTAGAGGTTGGTATTTAGTCTAAATCTGGTCGGTCCATCATAGTCGTGATTTAGTTCAGAAATATGGTTTTGTCCCACTTTAGTCCAAGAATATAGGCCTAAATGTTGAAAAGAAAACTAGAAGATCTGCCTACCATTCTACTTCAAGCAATTCTAGGAACTACTAATAAACCTGCAGATTAACAGCAAAGTGCTCCTGCTGCTTGGTTGCTTAGGACTTTATATGTGAGAAGCAGAACTTTAAATTGTATTCTGGATTTAACAGTAAGTCACTGAAGAAAAGCTAAAATAGTATAATATTATCTTTCTTTTTAATTTTTAATCAGAACTCTGCCTGCAGCATTTGGGATCGGTTGGATGATTTTAACTAAAGTATGTGCAGTTTAGGTGGTAAAGATTAAAATATTCCAGCCTTGAAGTGACTAATTCAATGGCTAGTTTGTTATCATCGCCCCTGGACAAAATATTTCTATTTTTCTGCAATTCTCCAGAGATTGGGGGGGGGGGGGGGGGGGGGGGATCCCAAAGCCAGATACTTCTGTTTTAAGACAATAAGAATGGACAGAACTATTTAAGATGATGCAAAGGAAACAACTACTGAGTGTACTTCTTTTTGTTTTAAAAGCGTGAGGAAAACTATCTGTGCATTTACAATAGGTCTAGCCTTGAAGAAGACACGGAACTGTAATTGAAACCCACACTGGTCATGTCCTACCAGCTAAACAGAAAAAAAATGCAATGATCAGGAAACGGAAGACCCAGAACTCAACCAGATTAGTGACCGCGTCTATCTAGCGTTGTTGATAATGAACATGTCAGTTACTAACCTGGTCTTAAAGTAAGTCCGGTCCATGCCTAGAGGGTGAGGTTGGTTTCAGCCGGTCGGCTGCCAAGGCGGCGTGGTGGGTGCTGCTCAGAGAGTCCGAGACGCTGATGTCCCGAGGGCTGAGAACATAAACAAACCAAATGATGTCTGCTCATGACCAGGATATTAAAATACTGTATTTTCACGACTATAAGGCGCACTTAAACGTCTTTTTTTCCCCTCAAAATGTGCGGTGCGCCCTATGGTGCGGTGCGCCCTATGTGTGTTGTAACTGCGACTTTTGAGACCACCTCATTGAGGAGATGATGAAAGAGTGGCTGAATGTAAGGAGACCAGGTGTTTTTTTTTCCACTCATCACCATTAATCTGTAACTCCATGCGTGCCCATCTCACAGCTGATGTGAAAAACATGGGGAAACAAATTAACCCTGTGCTCGCTGTTCAACCGCTCAACATCGGTGTGAACCGGACCCAGCAGGTGCAGCAGAAGCAGCGAGTTTACATGCAAAGTCAATGGTTGACGCGCGTATAGGTGCAGCAAAAGGTCCTGCAGCGCGTTTTGAGCCGCAGGTGCAGCGCGTCGGGATCAATTAAGCATCTGACGCACCGCCAACGCGCTGCTGCTGCTCGAGATGGAAAAATTTAAGTTTTGCTGCTGGACGCGCCGCATCAACCAATCAGAGAAGCTGATCTGGGAGCTGACAGCGAGACAGACACAGCGCTCTGATGACATATGATATTAAATGAAAAAGGCTGGATTGATGAGGAGATGATGAAAGCGTGGCTGAGGGAGGTATAGCCTATGTGAGGAGACCAGGTGTTTTTTTCCACGCATCACCATCGCTGCGTGCCCATCTCACAGCCGATGTGAAAAAAAAGGTGAATCAATGAACGCTGTGCTCGCCGTTATCCTGGGGGGTCTGACAAAGGAACTTCAACCGCCCAACATCAGTGTGAAGCGCCCGTTCGCTGCGAGCGGCGTGGGAGTGATGGATGACCGACAGAGACCACAGTTTCAGGATAAGTGGAAGGCAGCGCTGGGCAAGTTACGCCACAGTTTGCGGATGGATTGTAGATGCTTGGACTAACGTGTCTGCTGGCTCTGTTGTTCAAGCTTTTGCAAAAGCCGGCATTATTTCTGAGGAGCCGCGCTGCACGGAAAGTGACTGACAGCGAAGAAGGGGAAACTGGCATGTCTGATTTAGCGCAGCTGTTTAATTCAGAAACAGAGGATGATGACTTTGATGGGTTTGATTAATACTTTGTAATAAATAGCCTACATGAATAAAGCACAATCATACTCAGTTTTGCTCCCGCTCTATTTTTCTCCCTGAAAACTTAATTCAACAGCAGCCTCTGGGCGCGTCTCCTCCTCTTCACCGCGGTGGCTGGCAGGTGTTTTTTCATCTAAATAATCTAAATCTTGCAGCTATATTTGCTGTGATCAGTGGGAATAAAGTAGTTTTAATATGTTTTTAAGTGAGAAAGTCCACCTGAAAACTTCATAATTGCAGTCAGTTCATCCAGATTATCTATTTCTGTCAGAGGCGCTCAGACCCCCACATACCAGCGGTGCACCGACAGGAGAAATCCTTTCGTTCACCGCGGCTGCTGGCAGGTGTTTTTCATCTAAATAATTTAAACTGCAGGCACCAGGATACTGGTAATAAAAGCGAACATATTCTGTCGGCAGGTTTCAGGATTTTAAGTTAATTTAGGAGTGATCACAGCGCTGTGTCATCTGCGATGTGTCTGTCTCACGGCCAGCTGCCAGGTTTGATTAATACTTTGTAATAAATACATGAATAAAGCACAGTCATACTCAGTTTTGCCCCCGCTGTATTTTTAAATACGCAGTAGAGGTATTTAAAGCTAGTAGAGGACATGTACCTGTATATAAAAAACGCGCCCTATAGTCCGGTGCGCCTTATGTGTGTGTTAAATACAGAAATGGGACACATAACTGGGAGTGCGCCTTTTAGTACGGTGCGCCTTATGGTCGTGAAAATACGGTAACAGAAAACCTATAAGCGCTGTTTCTTTCATCATAGAATCATGAATCAAACAATCATCAGTCCCCCTGATGATGTAGCATTTATCAGGGATCAAAAGTAGTTACAACCAAAATTTCACAGCATTTAACTACGCTACAATTTGAGTTTTATCTAATCAAAGGAAGGCTGTTTTAGTTTCCTATGCACACATTGTTTTAATTTACCTTAGTAAACTAAGCCTATAACTCTAATAAGGCCAAGTTCATCTACTCTTACTCCCACCTGGAGGCCTCCTACAGTAAGTGTGACCATGCTCCACCAGAAAACCCTACTTTCTCTAAAAGGTAGTAAAAACTGGAATAACCCCAGGGAAATCCCACTATCAGCCAATCTGAGCAAGAAAAAAACCTGACGATTATCATTAACAACTAATTAAAGGACCTTTCAGCCAATCAGGTTCTGAGTCTTTCTATATCAAAACAAAAGTGGCATAAAACATGATCTTGGTGGGTCTGGAGCAAAATGTTTCAATTTTTTCATCAAAACAAATGAAAATGAATCAAACACATAAATCAAAATGAGTTAAAATCAAGAATTATCTGGGTTCTAGTTAAAGGCATATTGATGAACATTACTGACGAGGATGAATTCTTTCAGTGTCTATCACTCATTAATCTAATCAATCAGAGTCTCATATGGTCTCCTCCAAAGCCCCTTTGTTCTCCATGTTGTCCGATGGCAATTTAGATTCTAAAACAAGAGTTGCAATTACTGTTCTTATCAGGATAAGCAGTGTCTTTAATGAGTAATTCAATATTTACTCAAAACCTAAGTGCCGTCACAACCAGATATTCTTATCCAAAATTATTTTCACTTTATCACCAAAGTCATCATTTAATTCATTATATATAAATATCTGTAGTCCAAAATTTCTATTCAGCAGATTGTTTCAGTTTTCATGATAATTATACTAACACAACTGATGACTGATCTGAAGGCTGGTTAAATAGAGGCTGAAGCAGGTGAATCAGATGATAATGAGAACTGGACAGAGATAAGCAGGTGAGTGAAATTAGTAATCAGACCATACATCAGAACCGAGATCATGACAGACTTCTGGTTCTCTAACATTATTGCAGTTTGTTGACAAACTTTGAGAGTTTCTGAAGAAGCTGGCTGGCGTGTGACGTCCCTGGTGAACAGATTCCTGAATCTGTCCTGGTTGGTTTGGAGGAATCCTTCTTTGAAAATGACTCATTGGTCCAGGGTATTGCACAGGGTCAGATCCATGAAAGCAGAGGCAGAAATATCAAGGGAACATCCAGAATACAGAATCCGAGACTTGCTCCAGAGTCAGCGCCGGGTGGTCCGAGATCCAAAGACAAGCCAGAGGGGAATCCAAGAGCGGGGTCAGAGTCAGAACCAGGTGATATGAGAACCAGAGACAATCTAGGGGAGAATACGAGAGATCCAAAAAGAAACTATGACAAGTCAGAGATGATTCAGGCAGGCTCAGAGAATCAGGAGGCAGAATCAGGCAGACAGACAGGTTTATATGAATGCTGGACAAAACTCACTGATGGCTCATAATAATCTGGCTTTGGTGATTGGTATGAAAGCTAGCTGAATAGTCAGGTGAGCAGCTGAATCTGATGGAGGCTGATTGGAAACAGGGTGGAGATGACAGGTGTGTTGCGTCCTGAATTAGACCAGCCACCTAGTGCCAGGAGTCATGACAACATTGAAATTATTTACAGAGGAAAATTAGACAGTAGAAACTTGGAGAACATCCCTGAAATGATGACTCTTAAATGTGACTGAGTGAAGTGCAATTCAACTCTAACTAACATGAAAAAAACTGATCCATTCTGTCCTTATCTACATGCAGTGGTGGTGTTATGGTGTGGGGATTTCTTGGTAAGGGGTTCCCCAATATCAGCTATCAAGTATCCACTTTGTTGTTCCATATTACCAGTTTATAGATTGCAGTTTCCTCTGCTTCACCAGGTCTCACAGTCTCATAAACAAATAATAATTGTTACTCAAAAAACATCAAAATCACCCCTTTGAGGTATGAAATGAGCCTTAACAGTAAAGTCAGATTTAGTTTAGGTGGGTTTTTGTTCACAGTACACACAGAAAGAGGTCCTTACTTTCTCCGGTGACAGATTTAATGTCTGTCTTTTCAATCTGGTATCTTGTGTATGAAGCTCAGCCCTGGGTTAGCGAAGCATTGTCAAGCAATTCAGCGAATATAGGCTTGCTCAGGCTCCCTGGAAGAAAGGCTGAGACAAGGGAAGGGCACAGATAACTAACCCAAACATCCATGGATATCTCTGTGGCTGACTTCCCTGGTCTTATATTTCCAAGGTTTAAAAATCAATAGAGCAACTGCTGATGAAATTTGCCGCATGAGTGCACGCCAGGGTCTGCAAAGCAGTCCTGGACCGAGGTGTTTCTACACAGCCCGTCCAAATTCATTTTTGTTCCATTCTGTTTTCAAATGCAAAAGGGATTTCACTTCATTCTCTTTTTTCAGCATTTTATTTATTTATTTTTCCTCTTAATCCAGCTTTTTGGAAGGCCCAGGGGCTTGAGTAAGTGTGATCGATTTCTACAGAGTGTGTCATCCTAGCCAGCCTTTCAAAAGTGGTTTTGTAACAGAGGCACAAAGGCGCGTGGAGCCATCATTCAATGAGACTCTTTTCATTGTTGGTTTAATTTGTGCTGAAGGATCCAGGTCACGCCACAAAGAACCCTTCACAGGTTAGAAGTCAAGACTTCTCTCTCGTCAACCATAGGCATGAGCAAAGAACGATGCATAGGGAATATGTGTTATCATGTACAAGAAATATATTTTTACAGATGTTTCCTTATATTTTTAATGAACTTATGAGAAACCAATATGTCTGAAATTATCTTTGCTCAACATATTTTACAGAACAGGAGGCTAATATGCTAGTGGATAAAAACATTTGCAATTATTTGTTTGATGTTTTTTTTTTTTCTTTTGGAGCTAATTGGATATTCTAAAACAAATCTAAACTGGTTTGTTTCCCATTGCCATTCTTCTGAGAGCTGGAGATTATTCCAACCTCAGACAGTGGAAGTTAGTCTACACAACCCGCCATTAAAAGGATATAGGTCACTTATTCACTAAGTTTACAACACAGAGCGCCTACTGAAAATGAATATCCATCCTATGTCTAATGTGCAACAACATACAGCAGCCTCGCAGCTATCCTCTCCTGTGGAGGAGAATTAATCTGCTCCAAACAACCTTTTATTTTCCCTACACAACTACTTGTCAGCTTCTACTAAAAGCAATTTGTTTTTGGCTCCCTTCTTCTGGCTCATGCATTAGGATGGAGAGAGCAGTGTGGCATGCTGTATGAAAAAAAAATAAAAAAGAGGGGTGGAGGGGGGGAGGAGGGGAGGAGAGGGAGTAACAGTGCTTTAATCTGATTAGACCTGGCTAAAATCCCAAACTGGGACTGAAGTGCAGTGCTTGTGGTTTCTGAACAGCTTATGCTAAGTCTGTACCATGGAAATAATCTACTCTTAAAACCCAGGAAACAAATCAACTATGGTAAGGACATAAGTCGCTGTCATTACCGAGTCATTAGGAAAAAACATTTTCATGCACCATGCAAGCCAGCAGCACTGGCAGAAGAGGGCAGTGTTTTTGTTTGTGTGTGTGTTTGTACTTCTCATCATGTTGTGTTTATTTTTCTGATGCCTTAAATACACAGCAAAAGCTCACTTGGCATTATATTTTGGTTTTATAATTTGTAATGCTTTTTTTTTTTACTTCTTTTTTGTTCAGTGCCTTTGCATTTGCTCTCTGTGAGCACAGCGCAGGTCTGTGTTTGCATGTTTCTCTGTGCTGCTGTGGGAATGCAGGATGATTTCTCGGGTGCTGAATAATGAATCAAAGCATCGGAGAGGAGCAAAGTCATCCTGCAGTAGCTTGTCTCGCTGCACTGCTTTAGCTGAGCAACATGCCTAAAGCCTGGAAAAGGTTCTCTTTAATAGGGTGTAGGCCCAGCAATCAAATTCTCAACCATCAAGATGCAAACTAAATTCTCCCTCAATCATCTCCCTAAAAAATCAGACTTAAAAAAAAAAAAAATTAACTTAATCTTTTATACAAGTACTATTAATTGATTATAAGAAAAAGGTGAAATAAATCAGTAGCTAGGGTGATAATGAACACTGGATTCAAGAGAATAATTAAACATAAAAACTCAATGGAATCTAAAGCTTTTCTAGACCTAAGTATTCCTTCTGTGTGAATTCCGCTCAAGTTGGTTCAATAGAGAAAATTAAAGATTCAATGCCATGCTTTTTTAAGCCTTTCATAGTCAACTATAGACAGGTTTGATAAGCGGAACTACAGGGGCTGCCATCTTTATATGTCTCTGCTGGCATCTTCCGGTTTACTGTACGCAATCAGTATAACCTGAGGAAATAAACAAATTAGAAACACACACATACAAGATTGCTACCCAACTCAATGATCAGAAAAAAGTTATTGTGAATCACAGACATTTTCTGGGACATATTGTGCCATATCTGGTTGCAGCAACCTGTAAGCAAATATTTAGAACAAGAGTGTTTTCAACACCAACTAGTGAGGAAATCTCAGTGAGGATGTAGTCCGTAGCTTTATATCCAAAACCAACCACAGATTTTGAGTAACAGGTGTATCTAAAAGCTTTGACTATGAGGAAAACTTCTAAAAGACTCTCTGTTTTTTCTTATCACTTTATTGATAACAAGCAAAATCATTTCCTTGAACTTTGGTTGGGATACAAGCAAACTCTTCAGCCAAAGATACATAAACTGGAAAAAAAAAAATCGCTTTCAGCAAAGCCCTCAATTTGATGTTAAGTCTAGGTGTTTATCATGTTAGCCAAGTGCTAGAGTATAAAACCTTGACATCTTAGCAGTGTGGTGTATCCCCAACACATAAACAAAAGAGATAGCGCCAACCCCAGAGCTAGAGTAAGCCTAAACAGACTTTGTTACTATGTACCCATGTTTATGGTGTTACCGATACACAGAGATTAGAATCCAGGTAAATATCTGACGTGGAGCTCCAGAAGGTAGAAATGTTTTCAAAATGATGCAGGATTGCAAGGAATGGATACTGAACATTTATACACATTAAGGCTTTTGATAATCTGGCTCTGTTTGTCAGCTACAGAGCAGTATATGAAGCTAGAAAAACAGAAAGGGTGAATGAGGTATGATTAGGGTGCAGGTAATAGACACGCAGGGGAAACTATGATCAGAAATTGCTGCAGCAGTAAAAGCCGGACCAGACATTGTCAGTGCATGCATGACACTTCTAAGAGAAACAAATGAGAATGTACCCATTATAGAGCCTTTGCCATTCAATCTAAATGAACATTGACATCATCCGGAAATGTCTAGCAGAATAAGCTTAACTGTGGATAAACTGTGAAAAAAGATAAAACACATTCCACTGGACTTTGTTTCCAAGTTTGAAGATGTTTTGCTTGCCATCCAGGAAGGTTTTTCAATTTAAAATGTCACAAATAGCGTTGAATTCGAAGCTTTATAGAGTAGCCCAAACAATTAGATTTGGCTCGGAAAACATGCTAATTGAACCAGAAGAACAGGTCCGCCCCATAGGAATTGTGAGTCATTTGGATCCTTTGTTTGCCTGCAATACCTGATACTTGTCTATGACTCTGATATGGGGATCGCCAGGGGAAACTGTTGGCTTGGCTGCCCAGGCAAGATGCTTTGGTCCACTGCATGGGTGTGGGGATTGAGATAGTGGGAAGGAAGCAACTCTTTTGCTGTGTTGTAGGTTTTTGAGAGCTGAAACCTGAGTCCTCCCCCTTTGGAGCCATACATTCTTGAGAAACTTCTATATAGACAGCTTCATATCTTGCTTCAAATAAGAGTCTCAACCATGGATAACGAAAATGTTGTCAAGCTTAAAACAATAAATACTTTACTTGCACATACTTTAGCAGACAAAATAATTTTCTCACAAGCCTGTATCACACTTCAAAGGGATGATAGAGAGTGTTTTTGTCAAGTCATTGTTTCATGGATCTGGATGAGGCCTATGAATCATGTTCTTTAAAAGTGTCTTTTAGGAGATGACACATACGTACAGGACATATCTTAGTTGCCTAAAAGCCCAATACACACATGAGCAACTGCAAGTCGCTCATTGTTACCATTATGTCTAATGATCTTGATATTAAAGCGTACCAAAGAGGCGATTGTCCAGCTTTGGAACTTCAGGCTCTTATTTTTTTTTTTTTCAGATGGTGTAGTGCAGTTGGGATGTTCAAGCTATTTCAGGATCCACTGGAGTGGTTCACCCCGAGTTGTGGAGATACCAGGATGAGACATTTCCATTATGTCTAAAAAATGCCTTGTCAATCCAAATAAGCCAGATGAGTGTCTGCCTTTGGTGAAGGATTTTGAATCTCTTTGATCTGTTTTTCTTTATTTTTTGAATATTTCAAGTTTATTGTTCAAGAATTACAGAAGAATGGAGCTCAGGGTGGATATAAGTCCTGTCTTATATGACTCATGGATATGAGTCCTGCCTTATGCAACCACTGCAAAAACATATATTTTTTTAAAGGACAAAACAGTTTTCTCCCTTGGAGTCAAATGCCACTTTATCCCACCGGAAGTCTTCCTGTTGCCTAAATTATTTTCCAATGTCTTCTTCTTCTTCTGTGCCTGTAGAAATGTTTGTGCTTTTGATTTGTGTCAAAACACCACATAGTCACTCTATTGTGGAGAAGAAATAGAATAACCAAAAGCAAAACTTTAGATGTTTTCTTCTACCTACATTCTGTACCTTCACATTTGCTCTTCAAATATAACTTGGTGTCATGGTCCTGGCACTGGTGGCTTGATTGCTTATTCCACCCACCTGTTTAGCTCTGCCTGTTCTCATCATTTCTTATCCCTTCCACCTGGTTCCAGCCCCTATATATACGGTTTGGTTTCAAGCTTCCAGTGCCAGATTATTCTAGCTGTTCTACTGAGAGTAACTCTAGCGTTCGAACTACTTTTCTGATTATTCTGTTTGGTGACCTGTTTCTGTCTTGTGGATCCCGAGTTTTGCTTCGCCCCTGTCTGCTCATTTAGTCTGATCGGCTCTGGACTGTGTATTGGATGCTACTGGCTTACCGAACCTGGACTGTTTTCCTGACCACGGCTTGGACTCCCTCATCGGTACCTCATCAGCTCTCAGATCTCCTGGTAAACGAACTTGGTTCTGTTTCGATTTCGGCTTGGATCTCCCTTTCTGTCAACACCTGCTCCTCGGCGCCGTTTGGCTTCAGCGCCGCTCTCCTCACTGCGCTTCGGGGGCCGCTCCCGCCTGCGGCGGAGGACCTTTCCCCTTCACGGTTTCCTCCTCTCCTTCTGTGATCGGACTGAACTTTGAACCAGAGGATCCGTGAAGTCCGCCCCTGCTGACGCGCCGTTTTCACGCTGCTTACTAAATAAAGTCTGTTAAACTCTTCCAGCTCTGTCTGTCTGAATATTGGATCCAAGGTTTAGAGCCTCCTGACAGAATAATCTGGCCATTATGGATCCATCGACAGACAGATCCTGGCGCGAGGGCGTTGATCAGAAAATCACTCAGTTAGAATCCGGGGTTACTGAGATTGTCGCTCACCTGCGCAGCCAGACTTCTGCTGCCTCTGATCCTTCCCAAGCAGCCGCGCCCGTGTCCACGGCCCCGCCCACTGTCTCAGCTTTTCATGAACCTCGTCTGTCTACCCCATAGCTTTTTAGGGGAGAACCTGATCAGTGCAGAGCCTTTTTAACTCAGTGTGAAATTCATTTCGAGCTACAGCCCTCCGCGTTCCCGTCTGACCGGGCCAAGGTGGCTTATGTAATTTCACTATTGGCTGGTAGGGCGAAGTTATGGGGGACGTCGGAGTGGCAGAATAATTTCTACCTGTGCGACTCTTATCAGGATTTTTCTGAGGAATTAGTCAGAGTTTTCAGCCCCATTCTTCCCAGCCGTGAGGCCTCTAGGGGTCTCCTGTCTCTTAAGCAGGGGAGTCGGTCTGTGTCCGAATATATAATTGACTTCCACCTGCTGGCAGCAGAGAGCCCGTGGAATGAGGAAGCTTTGATGGACGTTTTCATCACTGGGCTTGGCGAGAGGATTAAGGACGAGCTCTCCACCCGTGATTATCCTCGCTCGCTAAAGGAGCTGGAGGAGCTCGCCACCCGGATTGACCATCACCTTCAGGAGCGACGCAGAGAGCGGGGCCCACCGGTTCATCACCTCACCTCCTCTTCCGGCAGGGAGGTTCACAGATCGACTTCAGAGTCCCCTCGTTCCGCTGGACCGTAACCCATGCAGCTGGGACGCGCTCGGCTCTCCAGGGAGGAGAGGGATCGTCGTCTCAGGCTTCGGCTCTGGTCCATTGGTCGAGTCACTGCCCAGTAAAAGGACAGGCTCAGTAGGAGTGGGGAGGATCCTGCTGAGCCGAGCCAGACTATCTGCCTCTCCAGACTTTATGCTTCCTGTGACTCTGTCTGTTGGCTCTCGCAGCCATAGTTTGT